ACCACTTGCCCTCACCCATCTTCCTACCCTTCCCTTCATGCAGAACAGATTTTAGGATCCATAATTATAGTTGCTCTTTAAAACACTACAATCTCCCTTTCTTCTCTCCCTCAGGGTTATTTATTCCACAAAACCCCAAACCTTATTGAATCCAAAGAGCTCCTTTTTCAATCACTTTGACTAATTTAAATTCATGACCATGGTCCTTAGCTTGGCCACTCAGCAGTGAACATTGAACCACCAATTTCCCTAAGTTCATTTTCCTATTCTTTGGAGTGTTCATGCCTTCTTCTTGACCCTGAACTTGACTCTACCTCTTTCATTTATCTTCACAGAGAAAATCTGAAGCCACAGAATGGAATATTTTCTACTTCCAAACCTACCTGTAATTATTTCCATATTCATTTTCTCTTTCAGTACTGAAGACTGAACCAAGGGGCGCTCTATCACTGAACTACCTCTCCAGCCCTTTTTACTTTGAGATGGGGGCCTCACTAAGTTGCTGAGGCTGGCTCCAACTTGATAACTTCCTGCCTCATCCTCCCAAGTCTCTGGAATGCATGCATTACCTCACCCAGCTTATTTCCATATTTTCAACTGTTTTTTATTCTACTTGTTATCTAAATCCAATCTCAACTTTTCCATAACAATCTTCTGTATTTATCAGTTTACCAGCAATAAGCTGCATCCCCGCCCCATTATGGCAACATGTCCTTGTATCTTTCATTTAATACTCTCTTGATTCCATACCTCCTCTCTGCCTTCATATCCGTGCATACTTTTACAAGTGTGTTAGGATAAGTTAATAGAAATAAAATTTTTCACACTTTGAGAAAAATTTATTTCCATTAATTTATCCTACCCCAAAACAAGTCTCTAACATCCACTTCCCTCAGACTTTCATCTCTAACATACTAGTGGAAATACTTATGTGAAATCTTCAAAACGGAGGGAATAAATGTCTTTGTGTGAGAAGTACATGGACTGGAGAGGGAAGGGGATGCCCACTCAGGCAGCTCATGTGAAATAACCTCAGTGATCAGGAAGAACACAGATCCCAAGGCCACATCACTTCCCCAACCTAATGGGAATGACTGGAACCAGAGACAGCAGTCCTCTGGGAATCATAAAAGATAGTGAGAAAAAAGTGCAAGAGGACATTTCTAACATTTGAAGGTTGACTGGAAAAATCAGATAAGAAGAACAAGGAAAGCAGAGTACAGCAGAAAAGAAGAAAACAAAGAGGGAGGGAGAGAGATAGAAAAGACCTAGAGATCAAAGGAATAAATGATCCCAAGGGCTCAGGGGAGCAGTTAACATCTGAATTCGAGGAGTAAAGGCATTGGAGAAGGTAATGCAAATGAAAAATATGAGCAAAAACAAAGTAAACTATCCATACAGATGGCAGAGCACTTACCCAATGGCAACTAAATCTTCATGATGAGGTGAACAAGTAAGACAGAAAATTGTCCTGGGTTCTATAAAGAGGTGCTGGCTGTCATTTCTGTTGAACCAATAACAGAAAACGATTCCTTTTTCATCCCCAGATACTATTAAGTCCTTTACTCGAGGAGACCAATGCAACGCTGATATTGTATGCTTCAAAACAACAATAACAAAATATTTGTTTCTGATTTGTCAATGCCCAATTTTTACTTATTTTAACCTGTTTCACAAATAAGCATAATGTTAAACATGATATAGGTACTTCATAAATACTTATTAATGCTACCTGTTTAGCAATACTATATTAACTGTAGAAAAATTTAGACTACTGGGGAATTAAAGAATCATTAATTTTTTTCCTTCCTTCAATGCAAAGTTCTTACAAAGTTTAAGCAGGTCTTTTCCTTTCCTTTGTTCTCTTAAAAGGCAGGTACATCATGTAATCATCTGTTTTAGAAATGAGTTTCAGTCACTCATTTATAGTTTATACCAGGTGTCTATTTTAAATGCACAACCAACTATTGAATATTTTAGACTTCACGAGTCATACTGTCTCCTTTGCAACAGAATTTTGCTATATGAAAGCAGCCGTAGAAAGGATTTAAATGTGGTTGTATTCTAATAGTTCTTTGCAAAAACAGGTGGCATAGTAGTTTGCTAACTTCTGATTTATAAACAAAATATGCAGCCTCTTTAAAAAAGCTTTGAGACAACTTACAATACAGGGCTTCTTATTTAATTAATGAGTACATTCATAAGTTACCCTGCAATGATAAGTTACCAAGACTATTTGAAACAAAAGAACTCCCAAAATATACATAAAAAACATTATGAGAAATCAGCAAGCCATGGTACCTGATGGAGTGCATGTTCTGTCACAACTGTTTTTGTCTCTACATCCCAGATTTTCACAGTCCCATCATCGGAGCTGGTGGCACAGAGGTTGTACTGACCAGGGTGATGAGAAAACGTGAAGCCAGAGACTCTTTCAGTGTGTCCCACCAACTCTCCTATGACTTCAGGTAAAATTACACTTTAGGTTAATTAAACTGCTATCCCAAATTCCAGATAGAATCATCCTGTTGTTGGATGATAAGTTAGCAAATGCTTTGGAGTTACTTAATTTATGTATAACAAAAATACCCACAGACTTATAACCAGAATCCTAGGTGCTTGTACTGGCTCTTCAGACAAATCATTTTCTCCCTTTGAACTCCCAATATTCTCAACTGTAAAACAATGTTGATTTCCCTTGCTGTGCTTAGTTCACAGGCTGGGGAGCAACTCAAAATGAGAAATATAAAAGCCATTCAACTTCAGTCTGGCTACAGGTAGTTTGAAATGGAATAAATATCTGGCATGTCATATTCTAAAGCATAATCAAAACCTAGTTTGGAGCCGAAAGCATCTGACTCTACCCATTTATCACACGGAACCAAGAGTGTCACATAGTTTTGCAGATCTTGTGTAGGGGCTGCAGCTGCAAGCAGTCCCCAACTCCTGGAAGGCTCCCAGGGGACCAGCGCGCACTTGGGTCGGGGAGGCAAGCCAAGACATCTTAAATGCCTGGGTCTGGACACTGCTAACTTCAGTAAGCTAGCGGTCCCACGTGCGAGCGTCGGGAGGCGGGACCGCTCCGCCACAGCGTGGTGGGGATCATTCTTGGAGATTCATCGCGACTCATCTTAGTGACTTTGGCAGACCCCTTCTCTCTGCCGCAGTCGCAGACTATCTGGAACTATAGGAAAAGGGGTGACTGGAGACGATCAGCCGGTGTTCCGGGGGAGAGCAGGAGGGCTGCGGCCCAGAAGTGGGGGGAGTTACCTCGAAACGCGGGAGTCCCCGGGGTCGTGCCTGCTCCTGGGCCCACGCGCACAAGGAAGACGGAGGTCCGGGCCGCGAAACCGAAGAGGCCCCCGGGCACTGCATCGCTGCAGCGGGTGCAGTACCAGTTAGGAGAGGGCGGCAGCGTCCGCGGTTCCTGCCCCATAATCACCGGCAGCCGAGGCAGAAGGAAGCAGGTACAAGGATGGATCTTTCGCAGCTCCACGCCGCAGCCGGGAAGGGGGCGGGGTCTACTTCAAGCCCCGCCTCCTCGGGCCGCCACTACGGCGCGCGCCGAGGTCCACACGCCATCGCGCGCTCCTTTCCCGCTACCTCTGGGCTGGGAAGGGCGGGGCCGCGCCGCGTTCACTGCGCTACTCCTCCCAGCCTCGAGGAAGGCAAGAGTACGCCCAATCCGGTTGGAGGGTTCTGTCCTGCCTAAACTCAGCCGTGAGGTTAGCTATTTTCACTTCCCATAGCAAACCATTTAATTAACGGTTTAGACTGTTGGAGCCACCTCCGCCCACTGCCGCTTTATTCTTTGGCCCTGTGCGATCACTGGCCCATGCGAGGGTACCTTACTAGTTCCAGACATATTTTAAAGACATCTGTAAGAATGTAGTCAACGAAAAATTAAAATATGGATCAGAAATCAGAAAGAGAAGGAATAGTTTTTGCATCTGGGTCGGGATCCTGAATCTGGGATTTTGGTATTCAAAGATTAAAGAGGAATGGAGTCCCTCTTTTGGTTTGCTTGATTGTGCGCCAACTCTGAAGGGAATTGTATGCGGTTAAATTCTGTGGAGAAAAAAGAATGGAACTCCTTCCAACTCAAACATGCCAAAACGCTCATATTGTGTTCCACAACTGTGTTGTTTATTGCTTGTTTGCACTGGGTACCTGGTGGCAAACAGAAACCTGAAATACCTATCCTCAGAATACAGATGTCAAATGTATTGGGATGTCTAGGGGCACTAACTTCGGAGGCTCAGAACCCTACATTGATCACTGGCTTTGCCAGTGCTTAGGCGAGACTTTAACCTCTCCAGAGTATGTTTCCCATTTGAAGATGTTAATCCTTGCCTTGTTGGTTTGCTGAGATGAATACACGAGGTTTAGTGAAGCGGCGGCCAGGCACATCTGGCGGTAAGTGCCCATGAGTACGGACTCATCTCTTGGAGGGCAAGCTGATTAGTAGGGGTTAGAAGATGATACGTCGTATTTCAGGTAACTGTTCTTTAAAAGGGCTTTACACGACTTCCAATGACCTTTACAAACTTGTGCCACAGGGAGTTATTTCTGACAAGAAAACTCAGGTCTATTTTGGGGACTCTGCACCCTTACTCCTTTCAGACCACTTGTGAGATGAGGCTTCATAATTTTTCTGAATCTTGGTGAATTTCTACAAATCCACCATTTTTCGGATTTTTTGTTTTTTGTTTTTTTGGCTCTGAAGCTAAAGCCCAGGGACGCTTTACCACTGTTCTACAACCCGAACCATTTTTATTTTGAGGCAGGATCTCTTTAAGTTATAAGGATTTTGCTAAGTTGTTGAGGCTGGCTTGTGAACTTGCGATCCTTCTGCCTCGGTCGTTGGGATTGTAGGCTTGCGCCACTGCGCCCCGTTAGCTTTGGGTCTTTATTAAGTCATTCAATTTCAAGTCAGGCTGGCTTGGTTATACTTTAAGCCTGGGCCGCGTCTTTGCTGTCTCCATGGCAACACTGCTTCCGGGTGAGGGGCCAATCCTGAGTATCGCGCATGCGCCTCGCCTCGCTGGCCTTTGAACTCCGAGGCTTTCGCCGGGGGAGGGGAAAGATGGCGGCGGCGGTCCTTGCAGACTTTGGTAAGAATTGCTTAGTGGTTCAGGGGCAGGAGAAGGGTTAATAGGGGAGTCCGAGCTGACAGTTTGTATTAATGTTGCAGGTGCATCATGGATACAGAGCCTGAGGAGCCGGGGGAAGCTGGCCTTGGGGTAAGTCTATCGCCTTGGCATTTCACTGGGGCTCGGCCACCTGACTAGTCAGTGTCTGCTTCTGGGTCAGTCTGTGCTTTAGGCAGTCGGGCCACAGAGGTGAACTAGACAGCCTGAGTCTGCCCTGTCGCCCCTTTTTTCCACCGTAGCCCCGCGGGGACCAGGATTACTCGTTGCCCCAGGCTGTTCTAAATGTGTGTTTTTAGCGGCCGCCTGGGTCTTTCTGAACGCTATGTGATTTTCCCCCTCTTACCTATGGGAGAGACTAACCTTTCTGCTTACCTCTTTAGTCACTTGCTTACGTGGGCGGGAGCTCTGTTGTGGACAGTCTTGGCTTGCAGGGTACCCGACTTGCTGTGACGTGTTGGATGCGTTATCACTTCCTCCTAACTTTCTGCATGCATAGTAGGTACAGCTTTACCCATTTTTTCGGAGGAAAAAAATTGAAGTTTTCAAACTTGACAACTTGCCCAGGGCCACTCCGATATGGGAAATTTTGAAGCTTTGAATTGTACTCCGTAGAGCATTCTGTAACCTCAGGACAAAAATGTTCTTTAAAAGTGAGGAAATATTATGGAATTGGGAGCTGGGAAGAATCCTGTCCTCTTCTGCTTGTCTCTTCTGCAGTACAGAATTGATATTGGAGATGGATAATTTGATTGTAAATTTTCTGATTGGTTCATTTTTTTCTTGTTTATTAGTTCATTGGTTCTGGAGACAGATGAATTGGGTATGAATTAGGTATGAATCCACCTATTAACTGTGTGATTTAGGAAAAAAGTTACTTATTCTTTGTGTCAATTATCTCTTATGTGATATGAGTGATGTTATCACCTAATGCATACATTTTTTTTTTTCCCCTTGCCAAGGATACCTGAACCTAGGCCATTGGAATGCTAGGCAAGCTCTCCACCACTGAACTACACCCACAGCCCTTGTAATATTTTTAAATGAGGATTAAAGGAGATAGTGCTTTATGAATTGTTTAGTACAGTGCATGTAATAATCCCACCCTAAGTCCTAGCTGCCATTAATATTGTCATTACAAGTTATTATTAAGTTTTTATTATATTTAACTTTGTCCTAGGCTCATGAGTCCTAGATGGATGAAGAGGTAAGCTAAAAAAGGCGAATAAGAAGCACTGGCTCTTAGGATTTGCCACACTTTGCTTTCTTAGATTACTTCTGTTACTTTGCCCCCCAACTATGCTGTTTTCTGAATATTCTGTTCATCCACTTGCTTCTTGGCTTTTTCATGCTGTGCTCTCGCTTCTTGTCTATAATGGCAGGCCTACTCATTACTCAAATCCCTGTTCAGATATTCCCCCTTCAGAAAGTTTTCTCAAATCTTTCTAGAACTGGAGAAATTAATTTTTCCTTTCTCTTAGCATGTGTGCCTTGTTTAATGGCTACGTGTAAGTGTGTGTGTGTATTTCTGTGCCTTTACTAACTTGTATATAAGAGTGGTAGGGACAGATGACTTGTTTCTCTTTGTAATTCTTATATAGGATCTTAAAATATATTTTGGTAATGTTTGTCAATTTCAATTGTTTTGTGCTGACTTATACTAGGAAACTTTTTTTGGTACTGGGTATTGAACCCAAGGGGGCTTTACCACTGAGCCAATCCCCAGCCCTTTTTAATTTTTTTATTTTTGGAAACAGGGTTTCACTAAGTTGTTTAGGGCCTCACTATGTTGCAGAAGCGTTCCTCAAACTTGAGATCCTTCTGCCTCAGTGTGGGAGACCAACTTTACACGTGACTGAGTACACTCCCTGGCTGGGTGCTGAGGCGCTCAGTTGCAGAAATGTGGCAGAGCTTTCCCCACTCTTCTTGGGTTCGAGGGTCAGTGTCTCGTGCATGGATGTGTCTTGCTACAGCCCCATGGGTGAGGCTACGCTCACCTGTTCCTTTATAATATAACTCCTTGCCCTGTTTAGGATAGAATCTTCCATGGAAGTGCCTTGTGTGTGTCCCCTTCTCTTACTATGCCCTTGGGTGCCAATCAATCTGTTGACAGTGGACATCATGAAACCCCCTGAAACCTGACCCCTTGCCTCATTTGAATAGCTTCCCTCAATAAAAAGGGTGCTCTCTCTCTCTTTCTGCGGACCCTTAAGGTCAGAGGAGCCGTCACAGCGACCCCAAAGAAAAAGGTGTTTGTGTCTCTTGTGTAGTTATTTCATGCAGCCTAGTTAGCCCAGTTAGCCCAGTTCAACTGGAGCGATCCCTGAGCCTTTTAGTCGCGAGAACAGAAACCTGGCACCTCAGCCTCCTGAGTCTCTGGGATTACTGGTATTTGTCACCAATCCTAGCTTATACTAAAACTTTGAGTAAATAACTTGAGCAATTTGACTTCAGTTTTTCCATTCATGTCATGATACAATAATGTGTTAGGTAATCTGTATGGGTCTTTGCAGTTCTGAAGTTATATAATTTTATGAATCCTCATTCTGGACTTTTTAATCAGGGAAATGACTATATGAAAACTAAGTAAAAAGGTGTAACTAATGCTCACATTAATCATGTAAAAATTTTTTTAATTATTATTAAAAAATAAACATGACTGTTTAAACCAGGGATTTAATCCAGGGGCACTTTACCACTGAGCTACATCCCCAGCCTTGTTTATTTGGTTAAGAAAATAATATTGTTGGCCAAGAAAAGCTTTTCTATAGTCTGTGTTTAGTAGCAGACTGACAGGTTTTAGTCTTTTAATTTAAAGTCTAATATTTTACCGTTGGGTGCTTTTGGTAAGTTTTGTGACTTACTGAACATTACACAGTTAAGTTAGGCAAAGTTAATATTTAAACAAAAAAATTTCTGGGCACATTATAGGGATGGCAAAGTGATGGGCTCAGAAGGAATTTGTTAGGTGGATCTTTTTTGCAAGGGGTGATTTTAAAGTTTAAAGAATGAAATAGTATATTTTGTTGGTTTCAAAATAAAAGGGTTGGTGTAAAAGTGTGAGGGGTCTAGTGTCTAAACTATGTATAGGTTAAAAATTTCCACAATGAAAGCCAGGTTGGAATTGACATGATTTAAAGTTTGGAAAAATGATGATAGCAGTATGATATATTTGAATAACCATTGGGCTCCAGGAGGTAGGTCTGGATTTCATATGTATGCTTAGGACATATGTTGTGGCCTTGGGTAATTTGCTTAACTTCTCTGAGGCTCAGTTTCCTTATCTCAAAAATAAAAAAGAATGAAATAGTATCTACCTTAGAGAATATTGTGAGAATGAGAATGAAGAGGCTAATATGTAAGGATGTCTACTGCAGTATCTGGCCCTGTGGAGATGTGGTATGGGAATGATACTGCTATGAAGTTCTTTAAAGGAACCAGACTTTATGCTGTAGCCATCAATAGCTACTCTGTACTCTTTTACAAGAGATTGCATGTCTTTATTAGCCCTATTTACATAGAACAGTTAGCAAGTTGATAAGAACTGGGACAAAAATTAGTCTACTTTTCTGTTGAGCCAAGTTACTCTTCAAAGACTTTTCTGAAGTAGAGGGTAGAAGTTTACCTTTAGTTTTCATTTATCTGTGCTTTTAGTATTCTGATTGTCATGATCAATGAATTTTGACAGTTACAATGATTTTGTGTCCTCTTAATTAAATCTTACCTCGTGACCTGATGAGTTGTGTAGGAAAATGGTGCTTAAATATGAGTCATACACCTCTTTAAAAGTGTAAGGAAATCGACGAAACATCTTTGTGATAATTGCATTTCTAGTGTTGCTTATAATTTCATAATATTCCATGTAGACATCATGGATTGTGTTCCAATCTTTATCTGCTATCTTTATGTTGTCTTTTTCTTTGTGTCTGTCTCAAAAGTTCCTTTGCTTCTTGCACAAAGGCTCATGTAGTTGTGTTTAGGGCAAAATAACAACCCAGGATAAGCTCCTTGCTTTTAAGATCCCAAATGGGGCCACATCTTTTGCCATTCAGATCCCAGGGGTCAGGATGTTCACCTGTCTTTAGGGCCACATCATTTTGCCCACTGCATTCTCTTTCAAAAGAGCTCCTATCGATCATCTTAAAGCATTTTTTTTCCCCCCACAGAAAGATGCCCTGTAGTCACACCTTTACTTCTGCTGCTACTCCAGCCTAGAGTGTACTTCACTTGGTTTCTATGCAAGTCTGTGGTTTGTTCAACACTCAGCTTGAGTCCCCTTTCCTTAAAGTCTTCCTAATTTCAGCCCTTATGTTTTTCTTTTTCTGGCATCTGAATGCCAAATGCACATATGTGATTGATTAACTGAATCTTAAATCACTTTCGGGTTGCAAATGTTTTATCTCTCTGCATTCTTATCACCTAGAATAGTACCTATAGTATAATAAGAAATAGAAGTGTATGTATAAGTTGATAAAATGTAAGCCATCCTGAAGAGATCCAAGTTTTTACTCTGGAAGGTTACCAGGAATTGGGATTCATGTTTTTCTTTTCCATTGCCAAAAAGGAATATTAATTGCAAATTCAGCCTAGTACAGATTTTCAGCTTTATGTAATAGCATAGCTTGTGTGCTTTTCCAAATGGTTTTCACTGTTTCAACTATTCTTTAGAACTAAATGAGGCCTTTAGAAGTTCTGTCTACCCATGCTATAAGTTTCTGATTAGAAAATGACTTAATACTCTGAATAATATACCAGTGATCTGAAAGGGATAATGTCTTATTGCCAAATGACATTTGACACCAAAGCCTTCTCTTTGTTTATATTGTGGGTCTGTGAAATAGGAAGTTGATCAAGAATATATGTATCTCCAGGCATGATGGCACCTGTGTATAGTCCCAGCTACTCAGGAAGCTGAGGCAGGAGGATTACAAGTTCAAAGCCAGCCTGGGCAATTTAGCAAGTCCCTATCTCCCAAAATAAACAATGAAAAGGACTGGGGATATAGCTCTGTGAGATAGCACACCTAGGTTCAATCTCTACTACTGAGAATGAAGAGGCTAATATGTAAAGATCTCTACTGTAGTACTGAAAAA